CCCCCCCCCCCCCACCCTTCTAGTAATTTCAACTGAGCGTCATACATTTCCTTTATTGTGTTTTTTTATTTGGTCTTTTATACCCCCTCCTCCTCCACAAACTTCTAACGTCTTTTTGTGGGGGCATTATGGAGATGTTTTTGAACTACACATTCAGTCTTCATTTCATAGTCTGCATCACACAACCAACCTCAATAACATCTGCAAAGCAGCCCTGAGATCCTTCTTCTGGGACCCTAATGGACTCACGGAATTACCAGAGGTTTGTTTTGAATTTCCTTTCGTCCTAATTGGCAAATAGACAATAGCACATACACAAATCCTGGTACCCAGATGGGGGCCCACAAGAAGGATTTTGGTGCTGTTTTGCTAATTGACATAACCAGAATGTAGTTTCATAAGTTGGAACCTGACTTTGGATGTGCATTATTAACTGTAAATATTTCTCATTTCCATTGCTAAAGTAGTGCAGGTCCCTGGGTGAACTAATTCTCACTAAAATGGAGGATCTTCTTGTACCCTGGTCCCAGAGGTTTTTCTAGAAATTTTTCTTCGCTCTCTCTTTCCCAAGGAAAAACCTCCAATCCCTTCAGCCTTCAGTTTCAGTAGTGACCAGGTGACAAATCCTACTTAGATTGTGATTTTCTGCCTCATATTCCTAACGCAGTGATTTATTAGAGGAGTGTCCACTATACACTGTAATTTTCTTTATACCTAATTCTAAATATTGCTTAAAAAACACCTTTTTTATATTTTGTTAGATTTTCTTTCACTTCTCTGAATTACTTGTAAATGGAAATAATAGAAACGTTTCAGGGGTAAAATTTATTGTTAAACAAATAAAGCATTTTTCCTTGTAGTTTTTTTTCAATCATGTTGTGATACAACATTTTATCTTAAATTAAAACAAACCTGGAAAGTTCTGTGTATTAAGTTTTTGGTTTTGTTTTATAGTTATAAACTGTAACTGTTGTCAGAGTGATTTCAGTTGATTGACAAAAGCAATTTTATATCCCACTTTTCCTATTGTTTAATCCATTACTTGCATTTTACTTGAATTTGTTTTCTGCTGAATAGAATCTGCACTAGACTACGAGTAGTCCCCATTTTTCCTCAGGGATTGTATAGAGAGCGAAAACGCGAGCGCGCATGGAAATCACCCCACGCGAGAAAGTCGAGACGCGGCGGCGTTCATTTTTTCTCTCTTCCCTCCGCATCTCGCCTTTATATCGCGTGGGGTGATTTTCACGTGCGCTCGCGTTTCGCTCGCTCTGCTATCCCTGAGGAAAAATGCGAACTACTCGTAGTCTAAATCTGCACAGGCGCCCGATAAAAATAAAATCAATTTTGACATCGTACTTCTTTCCCATGTTATTACGTACCAAAAACGTGAAATTTTACTTCTGGTGGGGTAGAAAACCGCACCATTTAAAGATGAGACTGGAAATGATTGTGACGGCATTCCCAGTTGCACGGTAAGAAAATTCCCCAAAACGTTGAATAGCACTATCCACCGGATAAATCACTATCCAGCGGATAAGTAGTAGGGAAACCAACTGCGTTTAATATCCAAAGGCTTTTTACCAGTTGTATAGCGCTATCCAACGTTTGAACAACCAGGGCCTAATGCACCAACCAACGTCAATCTGCGCACCCTCCCACAACCTGGGCATGCGAGTTAATGTTCCAGCCCCCGGTGAAATATTTCCGTGCTTATGTCTTCTCTTGTTCCCCATTTGGGGTCGGACTGCAAGGGGTGACAGAGTCAGACCACACATAAAATGGGAAAAACTCTTTTCAGAGATTTGGCACCTTAAAATTGATCTTGGGTAACTGCTTTTAAAACTAAAAGTCTGCCGGTAAAGTTGTGATTTACGCGATCTCAGAGCACAACGTTTTGCTAAACACAATACGTAATTTGAATTTTGAGACTGCTTTTTTGAATTGGTATTTCATCACGCTTGCACATCTAAATCGGCTTGAAACCTTTTATATTTTAGCGTTTGTTGATGGGGTTTGGAGCTGTGTTATTTTTATTAATCCTTTTGCAAAGTTACCAGTTTCGAGCTCTCAGCTGATAGTAGGGATGACGCGTAAGCGAAAGGCATGCCGAAATATGAGCGGTGCTTTCTTCAATTCAGCGTACCCGATTATTTTGGAGCCTGGAAATTTCCCAGTCTGGACACCGAAGAAACAAATCTCGTCCAAGGGGTCGGGGGGAGGGGGAGTGATACACATTGACTATTTTAGAATTCCCTAGTAAAAGAACCCAACACAGATTTTCGTTGAAAACTTGGTACACTGATGTGACGGGTCAAGAAGATGATAAAAACTTAATAACAAATGGGGGTCACTGTCCTCGGTTCACGGTATAGGACTATTCAATTGGGACGTTGGCAAAAACCGCGAGTAGCCCAACTAGCCATAGACAAATTCGCGGTTTTTTTTTCGACCACGCGGGTGATATAGCATTGACTTAATTCTGTTGTTTATCCACCCAAGCACCCGAAAATTAAATGCTTCTGAATACCTTTGTCAGTTTTTTTACTTTCTAGAGTTGACCAGTATTCTTCTCGCTACAGCTCAATCCGTAGAATTTACAAGTCGTTTATTGGTAAAATTGTCAAAAAACTATTTTTGCTTTAATATTTTATTTTCTATCTTATTTGAAGGAAACACTGTTCTTAATGCAATATCATGAAATAAAAATGGGGGTCACCGTACTAGTTTTTGCGTTGCGCACCAACTGCATTCCTTAGGCTTTTCAAAACGAAATGTACATGAAAAGTAGAAGAAAGAATTGAAAATTACGATTTTATGGAATTTACATCGAGACATCACAATTAGGACGGAACTGGTGATAAAGATACGCATACAAAAAGGCCACTTTAAGTGATTCAGCGCCAAGTTAGCAACACGCGTACCGTTTAGCTTTTACGCTTACACGCGCACTTTCATACATAGCCTCTATTTTATTTACTTGCTTAAAACGTCTTTTTTTTGCGCGGGGTGGGGGGGGGGGGGGGGCAAAGAACCCGGGGGACGGGGCTGCTCCCGCCCTTTTCCCCTTCCCCGGGCTGTCTACGGTCCCCACTCCCCTCTACACATTCAGTCATTTTTGTTC